AATTGTTGAGTAAAGTTGATAATTCATAATAGAATGGTAATCGACTTACTATTAATTTAGATATCCCCAAAACCCGAAGGGCTGGTATTTCGTGAGTTCCGCTTGCGTTCGAGCTCGCCTTTGAGTACATACATGTTATACTTGTTATCTATAGGAAGAAGAAGCAAGCTGGCAAAAAACGATTTCAGGCTTTGTTGCGGTATATATTCATTTTTTAGTGAACGATTTAATATAGTCTATTTTCACGATCACCCACATGCTTCAAGAAATGTTTAAACAATCAATCGAGTACTAGGCCTTAGTCATGAGCACAGAACAGAATCCTCGTGATTTCTCGTCCTGTTCTATGTTCATCTTTAGTAGAAAGATGAATTTCAAGGATCGATTTGGTAATCCGAGCAAGAAGAATCAGTCTTAATTCTGAGTAACTCGATAAGTTTTCATTAATTGTATTGACACGAAGATATAAAGCACTCATAAAAACAATTATATATTTTTGTTTTTTTTGTGACAAGCAAAACTGAGATTTTGACAAAATTATACGCAATTTTAAACGATTGCAAAATTTGAAAGAATAGAAAAAAATGAGCATAGAGAGCTGGTCTTATGCATCTATATTAAGTTCTGCTCATTTTTTTATTTAATGCAAGTAAAATTTAGGAAGTAGTAGGATTAGCTGCAATTCTCGATTGATATTTAATTCATCTTCACAAGTTTCGACCAGGAAATTAGGTTTTTTGACTTTATGCTATTTGAGTAGTATTTTTTTATTGCTCTTTAATTATCTTCGAAATTCATCTGGTGCATAGATGATATATTAACTAAAAATTTATGATATTATTAAGTTTTGATGACTTATTTTCCAACGTAAAAAAATGAAGAATTCTTTCGCTTATGTATTCTTTATTGTAAAATATTAGTTGCTTTCTCTTGGAACTTAATATTTGAAGTTTTCAAAATGTTAGTTTATTTGTTCATAAAAATATTCTCGAAAATAATTTTGCGATGTCGACACAAAAGAGGTAATTGATACTCATATAGAGCATGAACAAGTGAGAATACTCTGTTTAGTAAAAATAAAGACAGTTACTTGATATATTTTTTTAATACGAATAAGGATGGAAATATGTTTAATTAACAATAATTTAGGCGTAGTTTTGAGTCTAATTAGAAACCAATGCTACGTATGTTGAATTTTGTTTGTGACATCTATATTTCATTTTTCCTAAAATTCTTTTTTTGTTCGGAAGTTCTTTTTTATCTTTGTTTTCTTTTATTGATGGTATCCTCTATACCTTGACGTGATGATGATAAAACATCACAAGTTCAGGATTTTTTGTATTTGCCTTGCGTCATCAAAATGTCATTTAAATAATTTTCATGTAAAAGAAAACGGTTACAAATTAGAGTAAAAGTCGATTAAAATAGTACTATTTTAATCAATTACAACTGACGATTAGAAATTGATTTTAATTGATTAGAGTTTATTAATCGATCAAAGTAAAATAGGAAGACAAAAAAACAAATGGATTTTGTCTTAAAGGCTAAAAAATCAGGGTTATACAAGTGGTATTTTAATCGATTTTCAATCTTATTTTTAACCATTTCTTATAATCTTTTTTAGATGGATTAGTCAAGATGTTTCTAAGCTTCTTTATACTTACCGTATTTTTGATTATCTGAAGCTTTACTTGTTGTATTTGAAAGTGATACACAAATAAATCAGCCATAAGCTAGCTAATGAAGTACTATGTAATTTGATGAGCGAGAGTAATAATAAAAGTTCCTACTGTGCTGTGTTGCAACATATTCTGCTCTACCGCTCGAAAGGATGGATCGAGCTATCAGGACAAGACATGATAGGACAGGAAAAAAAGTTATCGTGTGCTTATCCTCATTGGACATGTACTGAACCTGAATGTTTGTTCGAATTTGATGCGTTCGGTTCTAGTCAAAGCTCAAGATAAATCTGAGGATTCTATTTCAATATTATAGCTCTGGCTCAGCAGCAAACAGGTCGAACATTATGTTCATTAATCCCTAACAAATATTCCTTTCTGATAGAGAAAATTTCTACATTTTATCGTCTCTATCTTCTGATATATTCAATTAAAAAATATACTCATACTTCGATGATCACTCTGTTCAGATCGTCTTGATTTCTTTCATAAAAGTACGTGACTGATTTATTCCACAGTTTTTAATAACTTTCTTGTAATTACCAATCTAATTGTCGTAAAGCCATTTCACTAATAAAATCACGACAGAAATCAATGTTTTTCACGAAGTCATATTAACATCTTCACTAGTATTGGCCTTGCAAGATGATGGGAAGATGTTGTTCATTAAATATATTTATTCTTGATTTCTTCATATTTCGCGTTATTCTATTTTTATTGTTTTTCCTGTTCTTCATTTTCATATTAGGTAGCAAAAGCAAACATTCATGTACTCAAAAAATTTAGGGGTTTTTATTTCTCTTATTTATTTAAAATGATACATATGAAAGATACCTGACACCAGATGTCAACAACATCTTCAACTCTTTTCAGATCATCTTAGAGTTTCTGTTGTTGTCAAAAATAAACTATTAAACCGAAACAGATAAGAACACTATCATTATTCGAGATATAGAAAGTAATTACAATTTCACTTGTTCCAAAGGATTCTTTGTTACTTTTTTATGGAGAAAATTTATGATAAAAGAACTTTTCTTGCATATCAGACACAAAACAGGGTTCGAAAAGTTCGTTGATAGGCCATAAAATAAAAATGACCTATTATGAAAAATGATTCAAATTTCATCCATACTCTAGTCGTATGCTCAAGATTGGACACTTGATATTGCTATTTTAATATAAAATCTGCAATCATAAGAGGGCTCGTGGTGTGGATATTTTTGTGGAATATGAGTGCAAATTAAGAGTAGGTATCAGTATCTAAACCAAAGCCAACATTCAGGTCCACAGCAGCGTTATAATCGAAATTCACACGTCCTTCAGTGAGAAATCTCGTCATAGAACGAAATAGAAGAAAGAAAGCAATCCTTTTTCAATCTATCTGCCTTCTACCTAATGATCTAAAGAATAACAAACAAAGTTTTACGGAACTCTATTTTTAGGGGTCAACTACACGTTCGTCCACTATTAAACGAAATTTAAGTGGAGTGAGTGTAAAACAACTGTCAAAGGAAGCCACCAACTGCCAACGTTCTTTGAGTCAACCATCTACTGTGGAAGTATGAAAAACTTTTATTTTTCGTTTTTTTTTGCAGTTGAAATTTGTGCAGCTTCAGATTTTCAAACGCGATCTGATGTCGGCTAAATCGTCGATCAAAGACGTACGCGTTGAACGGATTCGAAGTGTACATAAGAGTCGTGACAGAACTGTCGTGCGATCAGCTCTGAGTGATGTAAAGCCAGAAATTGAATGAAAACTTAAGATAAACGATGTTTGTTATTTAGGATTCAATTGAATTTGATTTGAATAACACAAGCAGCCCCAATAATGTTTATATTGCATCGTCAGGTGATAGAATCCATGAGAAAAAACTATCTCACTGGCGCCCGCCGACTGAAGATTTCAATCAGCACACATCCGCCACAATATCTCGCGTATGTTTGCTTAAATACCATGAACGTAGAAAATTTTGTGAGAAGGTACTACTGCATTAATGTTCAGAAAAAAGTTTCAAAGCTAATCAGTTCAAAGCACTCACTTGTGAGTGTACAGTACAGTAAATGTATTGTAGGTTCATTTTGGCTCAGAAATGGTCATTCTCTTTTGACTATGAATCCCCAAATTCTTTGAAAACTTTCTGGTATTATTTTACTAGCGAAGAAACGCTATTTGAATTCATCATTGACTTCTAGAGTGTCTTCAGTTGATCAGTTTTTGTTGAGCCATCGGTCATATCTTGATTCTGTGTCGAAATTTCTGGAGTAGGAAAGTCATATATCCAATACTGTTACGAGTAAGTAGTAAGTGATGGGACTCATCATGTGAAAATAAACAACCAATCAAACAACTAACAATTTAACTATGTTGAGTATAGAGTTATTTTTATCACGAAAGCATTTACTGTTAACATGGTAAGTGAAAGTGGAAGTAACAGTGAGTGTGACATTGTGACTTTGGAATTGAAATTTCCATGGTAGATAAGTACCATAATTGCTCCAGTATTAGATTGTTTGAGTAGTCTGTGGCTACGTATACTCTAACTCAACTGCTCTCGCCTTACACCGTTTATTTTTTGAAAAAGTCTCGATCATTGTAGTCTTTGATAGAATTTTTTGATCATTGTAGCCTAATCAAGAAACTTTGAAAGGTTTCTTACTAATTTCACAAAACCACATATTAAAAAAAATGGCTACCCAGTACTGATGAATACGTTGCAGAATTGCAATCAGTAGTTGTTGTCAAACTGGTTCGATTCAATCGATCTTTAAGCAATCGTGCAAGATTTTTCGAACCGCAAAAACTAATAAAAAACATCTGCTTATAAAAAGAACTTTCAGATTTATTTAAATAGATTCTAAAAACCGTTCAACTAAAATACTTCAACCGGTTTATCCAGCTGTTTATAACTTTCATAAGTGAAGTATAGATATCGTCGTGAGGCTTTACAAATCCTTCTTTAACTGAAGAATGACGAAATTTAGACCGTGTCATCTCTTCAATATCTGCATACGACTTGGAAGTAATCAATTTAACTTCTGTAGCGGCTGGATTGCCTTTGCTCACAACGGATATGACTGTCCAAATACTTTTTATCAGAAAATCATAGAATGCTATTTAGATGATCTTGTTTCTTTTCATATCAATGTATAGTTTGTTCGAGAATGACTGCTAGAACTATTCTTAAACAATATACATAAATAATTTACAGCTACCGACACGTCCATTGGGTTCTGATTCGTGGTCCAATATTGACATCTCGATTCGTCGATCACGAATAGCTCCGAGCGACATATCTCCGACTGATATTAGCTTTCGAAACAATGCGACACAAAAGCCTAAGTAAGTAACAAGGCGAGCATCAGAAGCTAGTTAGCATATATTAGTCCTTCATTGTCACATTTTCATGTTTAGCCGAAACAAACGGAACAGACTTATTGTTTGTTCTCCTGCTTGGCTTATATACACATGTTGTATATGTATCGGTCTTGTAGCATCAGCGATTGCTATGGCTCTTCTTCTTCCTTCACGTGAGTATTTTCATATTATTTTGTTTCAAGAACTAACTTTAAGAACACGACAAGCTTGTCAATAGTTACATATCAGGTTTGCATTTTTCGATATGAAATATTTTTCTGAGTCAATTTTTTGTGGTAACTTGAATGAAGTAAGAATTCGCATGAGACAGAATAGCTCACCGTCGAAATTTTGTTGTCGCTCTTGAAAAAGTACTCTTCAAAATTTTACAGCCATCTTCCAAGACTTTGATAAAGGATGATATAATATTTAGTCTACGCTTGCTTACATCAAGGTTTTGAACACTATAATTAGT